ATTGTTGATGTCCTGTTCAAGTCATGTGTACTTAATTTTTTTGTCTTTTTTCGGTTAGCATTGTTAAAATTTTTGACTTAACATGATTTTGTTCTTTTTCTTAATGTCTGGTTACTAGTCTGGTTACTAACTTTTTTTCAACTGTTTGGGATGCATCTCTCATTGCTTATGCATTAGTGTATTAGATTGCTAAACAGAGTTTTCTTTTATGTCATCGGTTCGGTTTGAAACTTTTAAACTCAATGGAACAATAATTTTCACTATAATGAAGAACCTGAACTTTACCTGCATATGTTCTGTACGATACGTGAAATAAGCAAGTGTCTTATTTCTGTAAATACCAAAGTGGTTCATTTTGCATCAACAATTTTTCAAGTGTTTTGTTTTTCTTGTGGATGGTTAGGAGATTGATGAACCCATTGAGAAGGTTGTTTCAAGTGAGACTTTGGAGGAATCTGACATCACCAATAACGTCAATTAACATCACCAATAACGTCAATTAACATCTTTAAAACCTTTGTTTATTGGACTTTCATTGGCATGTACATACTATATGCCAATGTTTAGACACAAACTTTTTTATATTAATTGAAGTACCCTTAGTTCGGTTGTTGTTGTTGTTTGTCCGTTTATGTAATATGCACAAATTGAATTTGAGCTTTGATTTGAAATCTGCATGATGCTGACTAGGGAGTCCATTTATATGCCAAAATATCAATGTTATTTATGACACTAGCACTTGAATTATTGAAAAGCTTTTGCATCACACTGACAGGCATAAAATAAACTTTTAAGGTTGTTGGGAAGAGTATTGATATATATATATGTGTGTGGTGTGTGGTATGTATCTATGTCACGCAGGTTTTATATATTATGCTTAATATTTAACTCCACTTTTCATAAATAATTGCAAATCCTTGAAATAATTAAAATAACATATAATAGCAGTATTTGCTGAATTAACCTTAACCACTTAGCTGATAATTATGGGTTTTCTAGCATGATTTCATTACTAGTCTTGCAGCCATGTTGCATGATTTCATATTATTAGGGAAAAGTTGCAAGTTTGATCCACTTATAATCTCAGGTCATCTGTTTGCCCTTTAATTGAAAAAGCATGATGCCGTGGCAACTTAATTGTCTGCGGAGGGAGAGATACAGGAGCATGCCATGTTAGTTTCTTAATGTTTTTTTTATTATAAATGTGTGATTTTTTCCTTTTCATTAAAAAAAAAAAGAAAAAGAACCCCAGTTCTCTCTATTTATTCAAAAAGCCTTCAAAAACAATTGAAAATTTTCTGTTATAATAATGACTATTTTGATACTAGTATACTACCTCTAATTCTTAATTAATAGTATTATTAAAGTTGTTAATATCATTACAAGAGTTATTACCGTGTTAATGAAGTTAAAAAAATTCCACTTTCATAATTTTCTGAAAAATAGTTTACTAGTTGCGTTATTAGAACTTGTTTGTATTTGTTTATCTTTAATGTTTATAAGTACTTTCGTCTAATCCAACATAAAAACTCACATTGCATACTTACTTATACTTATTTTGCATTCTGTAAATTATAACTAAAAAATTGCTTCTAAAGGTTACAATCGCCACTTTAAGCAAAGTCTTAAACATTAAGAGTTAAATTGCATCACAAATTAGTTGAGGACAGTAGATGCAATAGAGCCATCAAAATAGGCTGAACCCATCGAGCCAACCTATTTAAGTCCTTTTAAGTAAAAGGCCGGGCTTGTATTTTAGGAGGTTCAAAAGAAAATTGGATTTAAAAGGGTTAGCCCTTTATGGCTCAAAAATAAAATGGCTAGCCTGTTAGGGCCAAGCTTGATTATTTTTTTTATCAAGATATTTATACAATCATGAATTAGTCTTTTATGGATAAGTTTGATTTAGAAAAATATTTAAAATAACCAATACTTAATTCATAAAATTGAAAACAATTAATTAGATGTCTTGAATTGGGGGGAGGACAATTAAAATCAATTTTCAATTTTTTCAAGGATGATAGTTAATATTCTTAGTATTTCAATCACTACAGTAACTAATGAATCTTCCTTTACCATCAATTCACATGTCTTAACAAAGTATAGAATTTCTCTTATTCTAACAAACGGTTAGGCTTTCATTTGTACTCGTAACTATTACATAGTTTTACTTTAGATAAAAGTGATGAAAACAAAACTTTGATATTTTTATCACTGAAGAAAAGCTCGCCTCTAATGAAGAATAATCAAGTATTGTTGATCTTGATAATTGTGATGAAGATGAAGATAATAATTATATTGATGTTGTTAATATTTAGTTGCTTTGTTTTTAGGGTGAAGGGGCAAATATACCCATTATCATTATGAAAAGGAGCACATGAACACTTTAAAATAGGACAAAAATACTATCTCCGTTAGTTATAGCAAACGTCGGTTACTTTATTTTTTCGTGGGCTGCACTCATTCCAGATGTCATCCCCTATAGTGGAGTCCCATGCTCTTTCTTCTCTCCCTCTCCTCTCTCTTCTCTCCCTCTCTCTTTCTCTCCTCCTTTTTCTGTCGATATGCTCGCCTTTTAATAGAGTCGCTGGTTCCTTTAACTTTCCTCCTACTGGACGAGAAGACCTTGTCACTAGGAGAGAGGAGAGAATGGCTTCCCGATTGTCTCCAACACTACTTGAGACTTCTAACACATCATCATAATGGGGTATTCTTTGTTGAGGGGTTCGACATGGACAACCATGAATTCGGCCATACCTTGGCCACGTCGAGGCATGGAGATGGCAATGGGCAAGGTGTGACCTTGTTGAGGACAAGTTCAGTTAGTGAAGGTTGGGAAGAGGAGGAGGAACCGAGCTGGTTCTAGAGTTGGGAGAGAGGAGAGGAAAAAGAAAGAGAGCGGAAGAGAGGATTAAAGGAGAAAGAGCATGGGACTCCAGTGCAGATGACACCTGGAATAAGTAGGGCCCACAAAAAAAATTAAATAACAGACGTTTGCTATAACTAATAGAGACGTTATATTTGCTATCAACGATAAAGTTGGGGGATCTCACTATATGAAGCATTTCATTGAGTGTATTACGGACATAGAACTCTTGGAGATTGAGAGTATTGGAGAAAGATTTACCTAGGAATGAAATTTAATGAAAGAAAAACTTGATTGGGCTTTCTCAAATACTCATTGAAATAATTCTTTTCCTTTTACCAAGGTGTACCACCTCAGTAAGTTTAGTTATGATCACAGGCCTCTTTTTATCCAATCTGTTACGGGTAATGAGATAAAGCCTTCCATATCACCCTTTCGATGCCAGGCAAGTTGGTTACTGGAACTAGACTTCATTGATGTAGTTAGAAAGAGTTGGGAGCAAGATTCGTGGGACAGAATAATACATGATTTCACAAGGTTAGCTGCAGAATGGAACAAAAGAAGGATTGGGAATATTCTGGAGAAAAAAAGAAGATTAATAAAGAGAATTGAGGGGTTAAAAGATCTAAGCAAAGAAGAGATAATCAGTACCTTATGCAAACTGAGAAGGAACTTTGGCAAGAATATAATAAAATTCCGGCCCAAGAAGAATTGCTATGGTACTAGAAATCTAGATGCAACTGGTTGAAATGGGGAGATAGAAACAGTAATTACTTTCATGATTCTACCATTGTCAAGAGACGAAGAAATAGAATTGATGGGCTTTAGAATGAAAATGGTGATTGGAGCTTTGATCAGACAGAATTGAAGGGGATGGCGATTGAGTACCATAGAAACTTATTTACCAGTGAATAATCTAATCTTAGTACTTTGACAACTCAGAGTTTTCCTAATCTGAATGAGGGGGACATCAGGGCATTATCTGCTATGGCCAATGAGGAAGAAATCAAAACAACGGCTTTTGATCTAGGGGTTCAAGGCACCAAGACCCGATGGTATACAGGCATTTTTCTTTCAAGAGTACTGGAATATAGTAGGTGAATCTGTATGTTAGATGGTAAAAGACATTTTTGAAGACCCAATGAAGATTACAGCTCTCAATGATACAAACCTAGTCCTTATTCCTAAAGTAAAGAAGCCTTGCAACATAAAGGAGTTCCGGCCCATATCACTTTGCAATGTAAGCTACAGATTGTGACAAAAGTGATTACTCACAGACTCAAGAACATCCTTCCCAAGGTGGTTGGGCACCAACAGTGTAGTTTCATTGTAGCAAGACAAAGTAGTGATAGTATTATCACAGCCCAGGAAATTATTCACTCTATGAAAATCAAGAAAGGGGAAAAAGGATGGTTAGCTGTTAAAGTAGATTTGGAAAAAGCTTGTGACAAATTGGAGTGGAGTTTCATCGTAGACACTCTTAAAGAGATGGGGCTTGAAGAGAAGATATGTAATGTTATCATGGCATGTATCTCTACCTCTTCATCCCTGATCCTTTGGAATGGTGAGCAAACCGAGAAATTTAGAGCCATAAGGGGCAATCAACAGGGTGACCCTATTGAAGGGAATTGAAAGACGAGCAACGGAAAAAAAATTTAAAATTTCAATCCCTTGCCCGGATCTACCGATTGTGTTTAAGTCAAGTAGTAAGAAGTATTACCTTCGATGTTCGATTTCTTGGTGGCTCGGGGATTCTGCCGTTCAGGATGCCTCTGCTCGCCTCCTTTTTCGTTCGAAGTCGACAACTCAGATCGACTTCCTCTACCGGTATCCACACGAACAGCCTTTCAACCACGAACGACGTGCTAGCCCCTCTTGTCCTTCTAGGGTTTATTTTTGAAGAATCCATCCTCCCTTCTCTGGTTTTGGCTGTCTCTCATCTGCTAGTGTTTTCACTCTCACACACAAAACCTTAGCTCCTAATATCAAATATATAGGATCCTATAGGTATTATGAATGATATTTAATTTCAAAATTAATCCTAAATTAATTCCAAAATTAATACAATATCAAATATTGCCTAATCAGATAAGAGAACAATTAAATAAATATGGTTTATATTAAATCCGTCTCACAGATTTAATTCACCTATTTATTTTATTCAAAATAAAGATATGACCGAATTAATTTATATAGATCTAATTTATCCTTATAAATTAAATCTAACAATTAATATCTCTTATATTTATATAATATATATATATACACGAATTTATATATATATATATACGTCCACCCTATATTATTCATTGAATCTGGACATATCTTAGATTCAATGAATCTGGACATCATAGCTCATGTTGGGCTATTTTGTGTGTGACCCTGTAGGCCCATATGAAGTTAGCAGTGGGCCATTAACTATAATGACTGACAAGTCGTAAACGGTCTCTAGCAAGACATCACCTATCTCCCCATATATCTTCATTCTTTGCATGGAAAGACTTAATCACCTCATTACAGAGTCAATTGCTGAGAGAAGGTGGCAACCCGTCTACCTAAATTCTAGAGGTCCTCCCATTTCTCACTTGTTCTTTGCGGATGATTTGGTGCCTTTTGGAGAAGCTTCTACAATGCAAGTGGAGTAAATACTCAAATGTATTAATATCTTTTGTGAGGCTTCATGATAGAGAATGAACAGCTCCAAGACAAAAATTTGCTTTTCTAGGAATGTTCATTTCTCCAGAGCCCATGAACTTAGCCAAAGAATGGATGTTGGCCTTACAGGTGATTTGGGCAAATATTTGGGGATACCTCTCATTCACCGAAGGGCTGCCTACACAACCTTTGCCTCTATTCTTGAGAAAACTCAAAAGAAGTTATCAGGATGGAAAAGATCATATCTTAACAGGGCAGGAAGGGCCACTCTAATCAAAGCAGTTCTCACGAGTTTACTTGCCTACCATATGCAAACCATGCTACTTCCAAAGGGGATCTTAAAGGAAATTGAGAAAAAAAAAAAGTAGGAAGTTCCTTTGGGGAGACAGTGAGAAGGAGAAGAAGTTAGATCTCATATCGTGGGAGAAGGTTACTAGAGACAAGAGAGAAGGAGGACTAAGTACCAACAACCTCAGGAAACAAAATGAGGCTTTTATCCTGAAACTATATTGGAAACTCTTGATAGATAAAGAAGCCTTATGGGTGAAAGTCTTGAGAGCCAAATATAAATGTGAGAATCTTGACAAGCTTGAGATTAATAGGAGACAGAATTCTTCTCATGCTTGGAAACAAATCTGTGATATGTGGGAGTGGGATTCTTTCAAGAAAGGAGTAGGCAAGAAGATTGGAAATGGCTGCAATATTGCATTCTAGTTTGAGAATTGGTTAGAGATAAATGTGCCTCTTATTGATCTTATCCCGGGAAGAGAAGGTCTGATTGATTGTAATGAGAGAGTTATTGACTTTGTTGACCCTTTCGGCAATTGGAGCTATGATAAACTTCATGTTTGGTTACCAATACAATTGTTGAGCAAATCATGTGTGCACCCACACCTTGTGAGGAGAGAGGAGAGGATAAATACACTTGGAAACCATCCACTTATGGTTTCTTTTTTGTTAAATCAGCGTATCATTTTCTTTTTGTAGGTAACCAAACGGAACAAGATAGCATTTGGAAGAACCTTTGGAGGTGGAGAGTTCCTGAGAAAATCAAGTCTTTCATGTGGCTGTTTGCTCATGGACGAATCCACACGATGGAACTTAGGAAGTGAAGGGGCCTTGAAGAGTCTGCAGCTTGCACTTTTGGCTGTGAGAATAAGGAAACAGAGATGCACACAATTAGAGACTGCATGAATGCCGTCAATTGATGGAAATCTGTGGTTCTCCAAAATTTTAGTCATCTTTCTTCTCTTTACATGGTATTGATTGGATTCAATGGAACCTTAAAAATGAAGCAGGAGCACCAAGCACGAAGAAAGTTCAATGGATAACATTGTTTGGTTATGTTTGTTGGGATACTTAGGTTTCAAGATGTAATAAAGTCTTTGATACAAATGTAACAAGTGTTCCAACAGATGCCCTTGATTCTCTTTACAAGGCTTGTTGGATATAGACTTTATTGAGCATTGTAAATTTTATTCTAACCATACTATGCAGCAAAATGACAAAGGCCATGCTCCAAGAGATCACATCAACTTGGAAGTGGACGGGTTAGTGCTTACAGATGGCAAGAGCGGTTATGGTGGAGTTTTAAAGGATAAGGAAGGAAGATGGATTGTTGGCTTTAGCTGTAAACTAACCTCTGTTCCCTCAGAAATTGCGGAACTCATTGGGATTATTAATGGTTTGCAATTTGTTGGAATAGAGGGTTTAGGAATATTGTAGTGCATTTCGATTGTATTGAGGCAATTAATTTGTGCCTTAGGGGATGCAATGCTGACCACCCCTATCGAAACATTATGCAGAATACTAAATTCATTCTTAATCTAGATTGTGAAGTCCTAGTTAAGCATAGATTTATGGAGAACCTTACTCTAGTGGATCAATTAGAGAAAGCTTCTCACAGATTAGATGAAAATTTTTGTACCTTTGATCAATCTCCACCTATGTTCCATGTAGTAGATCTTGATCAAGAGGAGTAACTTTGTACGTACTGGTTGTTACTAGTAATGATATTCAGTTTCTATTCAAAAAATAAAAAGTAAAAACCCCAACTTTTATATGTTATTTTTTTTTCGAGTGACAACTTTTATATGTTATTACCTAGGATAAATCAGATACCAAATTATGAATAAAATAACTAATGTATATAATTGAAAAAGTTATAAAAACTACACAATAAATGAGATTGATTAAAAATTAAATTGATGGTAAAAAAAATTAAAAATTAGATAAAGCGGATTGAATTAATTTTTAGTTTTGATTTTATAAATTTAAAAGCAAAATACTGTTTCAAGGGTTCAATATCGGACGGATCAAAATAAGAGATAATTTTGGGAACAAAAATCACTTCTTTCGTTATTATTTCTTCCGCTTCTGTCAGTCTCTCCATTGCTCTTCCGAAACTGCCCCTGCAATCAGATTTTTACGATATTTCATCTTCATTCGCTCTCAATGTACTCTGCAGTCTCTGAGCACCGCAAGCTGGCAAGTTTTCTGCGTTCGCATCTGCATGTTCTGTTGTTCTCTTCGACTTCATGATGGTGTGACTGAGAGTCTGAGAGAGGGATTTGTGTTCGAAATTTTTGTTTCCGTCCTCTAAGAACTGTGGCCGTGGGTGAGCTCAAAATTGTGACGTTTGGGTGTGAGCCTCTAATCTCATTCTCTTCTCGGAATAGTAGCTGGGGAGCATACAACGAGAATCTAAATCTTGTCTGGTAGAAGAAGCAGAAGTCGACGAACAAGCATTCTACCCTTGGTTGAACTTGCCGCCGGAAGCCGTCTACTGTGGTCTGCCCTGCTTGGTTGTTCTCCGGCAAGTATTGAACAAGGTTCGCGCCCTAGGGCTTTTTCTTCTCCCGAAATTCGGTGAGATTGATTTGTTCAATCTGGTTTTTATTATATGATAGTGATCTTTGCAAGAAAACTGAAATCACCTTTCACGGAAGCTATTCATACGAGTGTAAAGCCTATGCAACTATACAAAATAAGAACTTGGTAATAGGGTGTTAAAGCAAGGGAAATCTTTTTTAATGGTAAAATTAATTCTTAATTCTTGACTATGTAAAAGCCTTGTCTACTGCTTATATGCTGATTATGTTTTCTTTTTCTGTTTTAGGGCTTCTCAGGATGCTTGCACTGACAGACTCGCCTCTTTTTATTATTAAAACATTTGAAGCTGTTAAAATTCCGACAAGTACGCGAATCTCAGTGGTAAGATCCTGACATCTACGACTAAATGAATTTAACGTTGTTTTCTCACATTTTTCTGAATACTGAATCTTCCTTTAGTTCATATTACCTCTGCTCTGGTCCTTAATATGAGGAGATTAAGAAAATTTGCTAGATTAGTTATTTTTAATAAATAAATGTTATCTTTCTGAGAATGTCCTTGGTATTAGCTAAAACTATCGTTTGATGGAACTTTTAACATGTGCAACTACTACAATGATTACTTTGAAAAATTGAATAAATATGAAAGATATAGTTGATAGGGGTCTTATATTTAAGAATTAAGACTAATAGGGATTTTATATTTAAAACTAAATTGCATGTCAAACTAGTTTTTATATTAGAAACTGAAGGCAGTATAATTTTTTCTTTTTCTGTTTATATACGAGGATCGTATCCAAAATTTTTCTGAGTGAAATATTTATTGAAACTGTAAGTATTCTATGTGCAATGAAACAATGCCTGACCTTTAATATCGGTTAATTTTTCTTTTATTAATCAGGTATGTGCTGCAAAAGGTCCAAGACCAAGATATCCTCGAGTGTGGAAAACCAAAAGGAAAATTGGGACAATTTCCAAGGCTGCCAAGCTTGTTCAGAATGTAAGTTCTTCATTGTTTTCCTCTGTTCAAGTCCACTTACTTTGAGCATGGGATAGATGTGATGGCTGCAAATTGGTTATGTGCAAAAAAGTTAAAGGTCTCTTAACTTGGAATCATAGAGCTTATCTGATGTTTTGCATTTCTGGAAAGGTGACGTCTCTTAAGGTTCTTCTGTAGATTAAGGAACTGTCGAATGTCAAAGAGGAAGTTTATGGTGCTCTTGATTCCTTTGTTGCTTGGGAATTGGAGTTCCCTCTCATTACAGTAAAGAAGGCACTAAAAACTCTTGAAGAACAACAAGAATGGAAGCGGGTAATACAGGTATTTTTATAAAACAGGAAAATTTCCTTTTTCTTAAAATATTTTTGTATTTTTGTGATTCTAATTCAAAATGGTATGTATAGATCTAGTGGGTATATTTTAGATATCTCAAACTGAGAGGTTTTTCTTCTGAAATTCCATTTTCTTTGATGTTTTCTGAACCTATTCATGTTATGTCAATTTGAACTTGATTGATCTATTCAATTGCATCCTTATAATGCAATTGTTTTCTTGGGTCAGATTGCTGTTTTTGTTTCATGTTCTTATCATGCTTCTTTGGGTCCTATCTCCTATTTTGAATCTGTGGGCATCCTTTGAGGTGTTTGTTTTCAACAAAATTACATATGGCATTGTAGGTGACAAAATGGATGTTAAGCAAAGGTCAAGGAAGGACAATGGGAAGCTATTTCACATTACTTAACGCCTTAGCAGAGGATGACAGATTGGATGAAGCTGAAGAACTTTGGACAAAATTGTTAATGCAGAATTTGGAAAGCTTGCCTCGTAGGTTCTTTGATAAGATGATTTCCATCTACTATAAGAGGGGCAAGCAGAAGAAGATGTTTGAGGTATTGTCACTCAGTTCTCTTCCACTATTTTCTCTGCTTTTTTCTGTTATTTTCTTTTTCTTTTTTTATTTTGGTGGGGGGCCGGGGGTGTTGAAAAACAAATAAAAACTACATCGTTGCTTACTATGCACCTGTCCCCAGTCAGTTAGCCGAAGGCTGGACTCCTTTGGAGGCGCAGCCATAAGATGAAGCCCCAGATCTTTTATGCTAGTTGTCACCAGCCTATCCTTGCGTGAGTTCCTTTCTCTAAATTATTTGTGAGCTGCCAGTCTCTCAGTCCTTTCCTTGATTCTGTCCAAAAGAAGAGTATATCTCAATAATGAGAAGTCCTTGTCATCTAATGCCTTGATCTCCACCAAGGAATCACTTTCAATGATTAATTGTTTCATTCCCAGTTTCCACCATAGTTCTATTCCATCAAGTAATCCCCACAGGTCAGCCGATGGTGCATCACTTATCCCCATTGTGACTAAAACCCATAGTCTATCTGCGTTGATTTCTCCATGAAAGGCCTCCACAACCTGCCTTGCCATGCAATCGTCTTGCAGGTTTATCCTGGTGAGTTTATGCTATCGTTGTCTTTCCACTCAATCATTTCAAGTGCTCTCATCTCCTGCATTTGCTTTCAGTCCGTCTATAATCTACATAATCTCTCTTTCCTCAAACAAGGCTTTATTCCTTCATGTACAAACTAACAAAAGCATATGATCCCAAACCTATTTCCTCTTCCATTTTCACTAGCTTCCTTGTTCATGTGATCGAGTTAATAATTGATAGGTAGGAAATAGTACATGTTCTCAAGTCTACTGCTCTACAATTTCTAATTGCCACTGGACATCGCTATAATAAATAGATAATGTCTTCCCCAGATGCTCCATTTATCAACTACATTAAAGGTAGGGATTTCTCCGTGTGTTGCTAGAGAGTTGAATTTTCTAACTCACTGTGGGGTCCTCAATCTCCAAATAGCTTACATAGAGGAACCAACGCAGTTTCAACCTCATCCAACATCATACTAGATGTACTCATGATAGTGAGCTCTCCATGTTATAGAGCTTCCATCTTGCCCTGTCATGGCTGCTCCATGGGACCGGTGTATGCATGGTTTTAAGATTTAATTGTTGGTGTCTCTCCCATTAAAATTCCATTTAAACTTGTCTTATGCTTATTACTCTGTATTCTAGAAGTGGTTTTATTTGCTTCAAGTCCATAAGTATTCAAATACTTGATAAATACTCTCTCTTGTTCCATAATATAAGATGTTTCTAACTAATCCACACGTACCAATGTAAATAATTAAAAGCATTAAATTTGTTATAAAATTCAAGTGGCTTCCAATATTACTCTCATTAACCATACTAAATTCTAATATCATGTTAATATTTATTCTCTCACTATCTTTATGAAATATGGGCATATATAAAAAAGAAAAAAATTTAATGGTCGTTCAAACTATCAAAACATCTTATAAAATAGACCAAAATACCTTTTAGAAGACTTATCATATTATGGATCGGAGGGAGGATAATCTGTGTGTGTCTGCCTTACTAGAGCTCTAGTGTCTGCTTTCCCCTAAAACATGACAATTCTTTTAATTTATCCGAAGCCATTAAGTATTTCTGTTTTGCAAGATTTTGATAAACAGAACGTGGTTTACAATTACATATGGTTGTAATTATTCTGCCGTTGGCTCACGCCTTTGCTTCTACCTCAGACTATCCGGATACTGATCTTTATACTTTTCCCAAATGGTTTGAATACCAACTTGCTAGGTTGTATGAAACAAAATGCATGACTTGAGGTCTTTTTAGTTTTTACATGTTCTTCTGAGTTCTGACATAATGAGGCTTGTAATGACGGGTATTTACTTATTATCTTGTGTAGATATTTGCTGACATGGAGGAGCTTGGGATCCGACCTGTCATGTCAACTGTTAAAATGGTTGGGAATGTCTTTAAAGAGCTGGGTATGCTGGACAAATATGAAAAGTTGATCCAGAAATATCCACCACCCAAGTGGGAATATCGGTACATCAGAGGAAAACGTGTTAGAATTAAAGTAGGTGATGAAGGTGAGAATAATCAATTGTACAAAGACATGGATGAGCACGAAGAGGATGATCAGGATGGAAGAGAGAGCGAGGGGGAAGGACTTGAGCAGAGACCAGAGGTAATTCATGAAGAATTCCAACAGGATAACACTTTAATTTATGACGAAACAGAACAAAATACGGATGAAATTGAGCAAACGGAACAGGATGTTGGTGTACAATGTGAGAAAGCTGAAATAAGATCAAATGACTCACTATAAGCTTGAATTCTTCTCATTTAATGTTTTACTCTGCTAAATCCTGTTTTGATGAGGATCATGCGTAATCTGGCACTATCAATTTAGATTCAAATTTGTCTGGTCCTGAACCCTTCCTTGCGTAAAGCTTTTGCACCATCTTTTTACATATTTAGGATTATGATACTGGAACTCAAGTTTTTATGCTTAAGCAGTATCATTCCTTCCATGCCTGAGGAATATATAGAAATTAGGTTAAACTATACATTTGCTCTTTTAACTTTCTACAAAGTTTGAATTTGGCCCCTTAACTTTAAAAGTATTTATTTGGTTTTTTAATCTTAAAGTTGTTAGGCTTAAATGATGATTTTTTTTTTAGTAATCATGATTCTTTTGAAAAGTGAATTTAACATATTAGCATTTGTGAATGTTTTTTCAAAATTTAAGTTTTAATTGTCATCCTATTTTGTAAACAATTTTAGAATTAAATGATTAAAAATATATTTTTTTAAAGGTAATAAATCAAATTGAAACTCTCTATAAAGTTAATAGATTAAATATATATTTTAGTCTAAGAATTTTATTTTATGAAAAGATTTATTTTTTCCCTGAGAAAGAAAACTGAATTTTTAATTTGGTTAAGAAATTTGCTCACTTAAGGAAATTTTAATTTTTTAACAAAATATTGAATTTATTCTCCAGAATTGCAACAGGGAAAGGTGCAGTTTGTGAAGAATTCTTCAGATTTGGGTTTTTAGCATAAGTAAAGGGAAAACGGTGGTGGAATGGAAATTAATGAATTGGAAAAGTTTCATTCCGTCACAAAGTGACAAAACGAACGCACACTTGTATTATAAAAAGGGGTATTTTATTTTGATCACCCTAGATCCTAGGATCTGTTGTTAAGAATATCATTACTTTTCAAAAGCTATGGTTGGTTTGTTGGGGAAAAAACAAGCTATGATTGGTTCTTTTTTTTTGGCCAAAAGATTGGTTTGAATATCAAACGATCGGATAAAGGTACACAAATACTCATAAATTTTTATTTAAATTGATTTTTTTAAAGTGTACAAGCATTTTTTGCTCAAAAAAAAAGTGTACAAGCATTTAAAAACTTGTAAAAATAAAGTGAAAATAACACAATCGGCAAATTTGCTTAATCATCGTTACTTTTTGTGATGTGCCCTACATTAATGTTACGAAAGTATCAAAATATTCCTAATTAAAAAGCGAATAAAAATGATCAAAATGTAAAAATATCCATAAACTTTTATTAGTCAAAGTGTGTCAAACATTTTTTTTTCCTCCCTAGGTGCAAAAATACCTGTGACTGTGCAAATAAATTAATTCTTTCAATTTTAGGAAAAACAATCTATTAAATTTTATTATATTATTATAATACTAATAATTTTATAGTTGATACATATGCTTGGAATTCTAAATTTACATCAAATTTTAATTTAATCTTTTAAATTTATATGGTGTATTTTCAATCCCCTTCATGTATATTAACACCGTTAGTGTCATTGATAGAAAATGTCGATTTAGTGAATTCAAATAGTAACTTTGCAATTAAATATTAAAATATTAATTTTTAATATTAAATTTGTAAATTGAAAAATATTTAAAATAAAATATAATGAAGATGTTGTATGATTTTTAACAGTAACAAACTATCTTTCAATATTTAAAAATATTATAATAGATGATTAAACCTTAAGCATACTTTGTCAGTATTTAAATTCATTGAGTCAGTATTTTCAGTTAATGAGACCAATGATTTTAACATTTAGTGGCTGAAAATATATTTTATATATGTAAAAGACTAAATTAAAACTTGATATAAACCTGAAGGAACAAACGTTTATATTAACCATAAAGTTATTGAATAATAACAGTGTCAGAGCATTTAATGAAGTTTTTTGCTAAAATTGAAATAATTAATTTATTTGTACCAGTATGGGTACTTTTGCCCTTGAAAAGAAAAAAACACAAATGGTGTTTGTCGCACGTTGACTAAAAGTCTATGAGCATTTTTGTATTTTTATTTTTTTTCTGACTTATGTGTATTTTGATCCTTTTATAACATTTGGCCCCACAGTAAAAGGTAATTAACCAAATTTAACGGCGATGTCATCTTTGTTCTAGCTTTGCAAGTTTATAGGTTTCATAAAACTCTCCTCACATAAAAGCTTTGATGATGATACTCTTCAAAAAAGCTTATGATGGTATTTTTGGATAAAAGTTTATGAGTATTTTTTACATCTTTATCCCATTAAAATCCTGGCGTAATAAAATCTCAACACCCAACTCTTGGAATTTTTTTTCAAAAATATATATATATATATATATATAAGTAGTTCAATTTGTCAATTCTTCATGGGGAAAATAACAATAAAATAATGTTTCAATTTTGAAAACCTCAAATAGTCACCTTAATAAGGAAAATGTCATTTTAGCCACACATGATCAAATAGAAATTTTAAAATTGTTTGAAATAACTATATTGTCCTTATGTTATGTGTTCTTATTCTATGAAAATATTTTGGAAACAAATTGCTAATTGTGTTACTAAACTTGTTAACAATGTTAAATGACTTGTCAATTACGTTACAGAAGTTGAAAAATTCTCAATTTATTAGGACCTCAAAAATTTCTCAAGTTCAAATTACCTCTTAGGTCACATGGCGAATAGTATTATTAGAACTGTTAATATTGTTACAAGATTATTAAGGTTAATATCATTACTAGATTTGTTAATACCGTTATAAGAGTTGTTAACCGTAATACTAAAATTGGAAAAGAAAATCTCACTTTCACAATTTTTTGAAAAATAGGTTGCTAGTTACTTTATCAAATTTGTTAACATTTATACTTGACTGGTCAATGAAATTAAAAAATTTGAAATTTTTCAATTTATTATATGCCCACTAGTCTCTCAAAAACTTTATGTTATGCAAGTAAAGACCAAACAATCATCTATATATTTTATTGTACTATTTATGTCTACTATTAAATCAAATTCTGTCATAGCTTGTATAAAGCAAGTTATGTCTAACTTCAGTAACATGGTTAATAATTTTTGTAACAATATTAACAACTTTAATAATGACATGCACCACATGATTTGAGGTATTTTGACTTTGAGAGATTTTTAAGTATCTAATAAACTAAAAAATTTTCAACTTCTATAACTTGATTAGCAGATCATGTAATAGTATTAACAAGTTTGGTAACACAATTAGCAACATCTTTTCCAAGAAATCATGAAAGTGAGTTTTTTCTGATTTCAGTAACATAGTTAACAATTCTTATAACAATATTAACAACTTTAATAACGTTATTCTCCCAATGATGTAAGAGGTATTTTCACTTCGACAGATTTATAAGTGTCTAATAAATTGTGATTTTTTTTTTAATTTCTATGACATAGTTGACAACGATATGAACAAGTTTGGTAATACAATTAACAACTTGTTTTCAAAATATTTTAATAAAATAAGCATGCATGACATAAGGACAGTATGATCATTTCAGCAAATTTGAAATTCCTATTTAATCATGTATAGCTATAATGTAACTTCCAATGACTATTTAGGATTTTCAAAATTGAAGTATCATTTTATTGTTATTTTCTCTTTTTATTTATCCCTCTCATCTTTGATATGTTTTTAAGAATAATTAGAAGTGCATTTTAATTTCCATAGATATTAGTCTCAAGTAGAATATTAATGAGTTCAAATCTCAAAATCATTCAATGTTTCTAAAATTTAACTCTATCCATATGATCTATAACCTCTAAGAAATATACTCATGGTACGATTTGGGGTTACATTATAAAACTCTTACAATTTACTATATCTTACGTTGGCATCAATTGTTTTTCTTTTCTTTTGTTTTTTGTTTTTGAAAAAAACGTACTATATGGTTTTTCCGACACTAAGTAGCTGTACAACCATACATGAGAATTTAACAATGTCTCTAAATACAACCACTGGTAAGTGAAAATAATTAAAAAAAATTATTACTTGTTGAATTAGGACATTTCATTAAAATATTTGTGATAACCAATGGCAAATAAAAATAAAAATATTATCCCAATGGCAAATAAAAATAAAGAAAAAAATTATCAACTCTTATAAGGAGAGGGCGAAAAAAAAGGAAAGAACATACAAAATGAAAAAAATGTAGATAAAATATTTAAACTTGTTTTGAAAAAAATATCATGAAGTGCATTTATATGAACGAATGGTGATCTCATGAATATTTAGAATTATATTATGATACTTGTCATGAAAATCAATCAGTAGAGAGGATTCATAACATTTTTTACATTTTTCTTGGTGAGCATATATTTCCCTATTTTATGGAAGTTAGACAAGAGAAAAGAAACGGGTCAGAACAAAAATTTCAGTAAAGTTGTAGGTGTCAAAGGTTAGTATTAGAGACTTTAGTTGTAGAGAAATATTACATCTTTATTTTAAAATAAAAGGTAAGATGCAAATAAAACAGAAGAAACAAGCGGAATCCTCACATATAAATGATTTTCACCCATTCAAAACACAATATCTGAAGAATGTACGATTGATTAAACTAGTAGAAAATGAAATGCTAAGAAAAATGAGAATGAACAGGTATTCCGATAGGCCCTCTATAAGGAGGAGGAAAACTACTCATATATAAAGCAGTGAATCTAATTCATTCCTTCTCTACTTTTCATCCATCTCATATGATATGATAAACCAACATCACCTCAACAAAAGGTCCCAAATAATCCACATTCTATTAACTAAATTATATATAAGAAAAATGAGAATGAACAGGTATTCCGATAGGCCCTCTGTAAGAAGGAGGAAAACTACTCATATATAAAGCAGTGAATCTAATTCATTCCTTCTCTACTTTTCATCCATCTCATATGATATGATAAACCAACATCACCTAAACAAAAGGTCCCAAATAATCCACATTCTATTAACTAAATTATATATATCCGTATTTGACAGAAAACTAAACAACCTGAACTTAAAATTGGTGAGGTCAAATTAAACTAAAACGATCATGTGCTTGAATATGTGCTTTCATCATTCTAGATAACTTCTCTATAGAGCATAATGGACTTGAATAGAATCATCTCAACACTGTCA